CAAAGTTGGACCCCAAGCCCCAGATCTTCACAGATCTTCACTTATACCGCTGCTACGGATGCCCCAGAACCGCGCGGACGACCCGACAGTAGCAGCAAAAACAGACGTCGCGGTGGTCGTGCTGGAACGGAAGAGCAGCGGAACTCTCTAGTGGGCGTCGCAGCAACTTCCAAGCCCCAGACCTATCCCGCTGCAACACACACCAAAAGCAGAACTGATCGCCTAATTTCCCAAGTGAGGTTGGGCACCTCACCATCGTTCAAGACGAGAGGCTTCTGCATGAGATTGGCAGTGCGGGACGTTCAGGGTTGAAGCGAGGGTTTAGGGCGTGGCCGCAAAGACTTTGGCTGTTGAGGCTTGAAGGTCTGGAATTTCTGCATGCCTTCACCCAGGTGATCATCAGGTTATGGTGGTTCGTCATGCTCCCATTTCCATGATCAAGCTGTGTTCGTGTTTCTTTCGATTGTTTTAGTAGTGTAATTAATACCGGCATCGTAACTGTGATTGTGGATGCTTCGTGTGGTGTGGTTACTGTCGTCATTGTAGGAGTTGTCGGGAGGTGGTTGGCATGGCTGTTGTGTTATGTTGGTGGCTGCTGTCGTTGGAAGTGTTGTGTTTTGCTGTTACAGTGTTAGCGCTCCTGATCTTAATCGTGTGGCTGCGGTGCTGGTGCTGGTTTCTGTGGTGGTCCTGGTGCTGGTGCTGGTGGCGTTGCTGACGTTGCGGTTCCTGCCGGCATTGGAGTCGGAAATGCTGTTGCAGTTGTTGTTGTGGTTGCTGTTGTTGTTGTTGTTGTTGTTGTCGTCGTCGTCGTCGTCGTCGTCGTCGTCGTCGTCGTCGTCGTCGTCGTCGTCGTGGTTGTGGTTGTGGTTGTTGTTGTTGTTGTTACCGTTGTTATTCTTCGTCTTCTTTTTTTCTTGTTATTATTCTTGTTATTCTTCTTGTGCTGGCGCTGGCGCTGGCGCTGGCGCTGGCGGTGGGGGTGGGGGTGGTGGTGGTGGTGGTGGTGGTGGGGGCGGCGCCGGCGGTGGTGGTGTCTGTGGTGTCTGTGGAGCGGTACTGTTGTTGCTATTGCTGATGGTGGTCGTCGTCGTCGTCCACGCCAGGTGCATCCCATGTTCGATGCTTGGCCAGCACGGCGAACGAAGCGAAGAGAAGGTCAATAACAGCAATTAAGACTAGTAGCAAGACCGGCACCCATCCGAGCTGCAACATTCCTCGATGAAAGCCTTCTTGTGTCTCCAGATACTGCCACTCTGCGGCACGAACCATGAAGCCATTGTTTGATGAAGTTCCGCCCAATTTCTGGACTCATACTCGAAAGTCACACATCCTGGCATCCTACCAAGAAGGCTAAGCAGCCTCACCTTCCCCACAAGCATTCAGATCTACTTGATCCGGATGTGAAGCATTGCGCCGTGTAAGGTGCAAACTGTTGGAGCCTCGATGGTCAGAAAGATCGTTCGCGCATGTCCCATGTAGTCTTGGTATGCAGTACACACACCCGGACATGAACAAGAAGGGTTCCCGGACGTCTGACGACCCGTCACTTCCGAGACTTGAGTTACAGTCTAGTTACTGTTACGTCTCCCCGTGCACGTCGGCTCCTCAACCAATACTGTCATCTGGAGGACTTCTCTAGAAAGCACACGTGCCATGCATTTCGTGCAAAAGCATACATGCGCTACAGGCGCTACTGGCAGTACTGTATGTTACGAATGCCTATGTAGATGTACTAATTGGCATCTCAGGAAACGTTTGAGTCGTGCATGGGCGAGAAGCCCCGGAAAGAGCTCAAGAAGGTCGGGCATGTTCAGAAGACCATTGGCAACTAGTAGCGCTACGGATTGGGACAGGGGTTTCAGGCGCCATTACTACCACTCCTACCATGGCCGCCACCACGACCACTACTGCTAGTACTGCCACTGCCTCTGCCACTGCCACCGCTATGGCTACTGCTACTGCTACTACTACGACGATGACGCGACGACGACGGCGACTACCAGTTTTACTTTGTCCAGTTCTTGTCTGCATGTGCAGTCGACCGCTTCCTCGATGTGCTTGAGTGCCTCGAAGGTCTATACCGATAGCGTGCTGCGCAAAGACCGCCAGGCCAGGCCTCACTGATTCTGATCTCCGGACGTGGCAGAGTTTAGGGAGAACTCATAGTCCCGAAAGGGATGATGCCTCAAAACTTCGATGGGGGATTTCGGCTTCAGAAAGGCACACGTTTTTATCCGCTGCGGCCTTTGCCAGAAGAGTTCGCCCATTGCCATGAGTCCGTCGACGCTGCCAGAAGTTCTGGTGCAAATCGAAGGGCTGCTCCTGGAGCTCCTCCGATCCCAGGCACCGCGGACACCAGAACACATATGCAACACAGAGAATTACATGCAGAATGAAGATGCTGCCACTACTTCTACTACCAGTAGCACGTAGAACTGCTGTGGCTACGCCTGCTGCCACTGCCACTGACATTTTGCTACTTCCACTGCCACTGTGCCGTTGCTGCTGCTGCAGCTGCTCCTGCTGCTACTACTGCTACTACTACTAGTACTACTACTCCCACTACTACCACTACTACTACTACTACTACTCCTCCTACTCCTACTCCTACTACTACTACTACTACTACTACTACTGCTACTACTACTACTAGTACTACTATTACTACTACTACTACTACCACTACTGCTACTACTACCACTACTGCAACTACTACCACTGCTACT